TAAGTGGCCACCCAGGATAAAAACTAAATTTCCTAGTTTCTCTTTCAATAAAGTAAGGTCATTTGCCATGAGGTAAACTAAGGAAAGGAGGTCAGGAATGTTAAATAAGATATCAGATGCTGTGGTCCTTGAAACCTTGAGGTACCACGTCAACGTAGCACTCCCTACCTGGATTTTCACGTGAGTGAGAAATAAGCTTTCTATGTTACTTAAGCCATCATATTTGGGTTTTTTGTGCCTTGCAGCTGAACCTAACCCTGATTCACTTTGTCTGGATGTCTCACTTACCACAAAGTAAGGAAGCGTGCTTCTTTTCAAGTGCTGCTTTGCACTCTGCCTGGAATGTTGTGGTGCCAGACAAGTGTCTATTGACTAGATATGAATGAAATGATGAATGAATGACTAACAGATGTGGAGAAAGCCCAAGGTGAAGTAGAAGAAAGACTTTGTGCCAGTGAGTGGGTGCTTTCTAATTTAGCTTCAGCAAAGGGCAACTTTTATTCTATACTAATGAGCACCTACTTTATGGCAGGCATGGTGTCAAGTGATGCTTTTATAGTGATGAAAAAGGCAGACAAAAATGTCTGTTCTCGTAGTGCTTATTCAGAAGGGGAAATAAATAAAATATTGGGTAGTACTAAGTACAGTGATGAAAGTAAAACTTTGCTTGATACAATGAACTATTTGGGCTGGGTGGTGAGAGAAGGTAGCATTTATGCTGAAACCTGGATGACATTAAAAGCATAGATCAAAGAAAAGGGAATTTGTGCTTTAGTGCAAAACCATAAAGAAGTTACTTGGCTTATTGCAAAGAGATAAAGGCAAGTAGCATTGTAGTTATTGAGGAGAAGTGGGAAGAAGTGCCGGGGTTCATTACTTGTGTGTCAAGTAAGGAGCTAATTGTTATCCCAAGAGTAATGGGAACATGGACTCTTTAAGCCAAAAGTGATTTACATTTTTAAAGGCTCATTCTGGCTCCTTTAAGGGAAATGGATTGGAAGAGGGCAAGAATAGAAGCCAATATTGTTTCTGTTATCTATTGCACAAAACTTAGTGCCAGAAAAGTCTTATTCATTTGCTTATTATTTTCTGGGTTAGGAATTCTCAGAAGGACACAACCAGTATTTCAGCTCTAATTCATAAATTGTAACCTTAGGAGACAGCAGGGGCCCAAGGGGCCATTTCCAAGATGGTTTCTTTGGGCACATGTGAATCTCAAGAGCTTCCTGTCTGTCCTCTTTCCTCACATGGCATCACATCCTCCAGTCCCAAAATCTGCTGGTCTCATGTAGCATATTTAACACATGGAAGTGTGTTTCTAAGAGAAAGGAAGTAGGAGCTTCTTGCCAGTGCTAAACTGGAGACTGGCACTACCTTGTAATGCTTCCTGGATATCCTTTGGTCAAAGCAATCAAAGAGCCCACCCAGAAAAATAGGCCCCACTAGGAGCAATCGGGTCACACTGCAAAAGGCTATTTAGGGTGGGAGATATTGCTGCAGTCAATTTTTGAAAATAAAATATGTCCCAAGTGAAAAGGCCACTCTTGTGATTCAAGCAAGAGATGATGGTATCTTAAGTTTGAATATTTGGGGCTCTCCCTGGTGGTGCAATGGGTAAAAGCACAGCGTTATGAAGCGCTCTGAAGCCACTGCAGTGATAGTTCAATCCCTGCCCAGGGAGCTGACCCACATGGCGTGGCAGACCTCTCCTGGCCCGGCGCTGCTCCCTTCAGCAGCGTATTTCAGTAGATCTGCCTGTTCTGCTCTCCACTCTGTCTCTGGTGAATCCTCTCACCCACCATACCTGTGGCCTGTAACCCCAGGTCTGTAAGCATAAATAAATAAATCTTTAAAAATATATAAAAATATTTTCTATAAAAAAATTTGAATGATTCCACTGGATATGAGAAAGGGATGGTTTCAGGTTCACTGAGCAGAATACCTGAGAGCTGAAAGGCATCAACAAATGCATCTGAGTGCTTGTTTAAATGAATTGTACTTTGTAAGATTACGTGGAGAAGTGCTGCCTACCACCAATAAAGTCAGTCACAAATAATTCTGTCGTATCCATAGGACACATACATCATTGTCATATATCACAATGTGCCTTGTTTGAAAGCCTGAGCTGTTTAGGGCAGACACTTAATGAGGCACAGATTTCAGGACTCCACGGGGAGGTGAAAATGTGGACCTATAGCCTGTGGGATCCAGGACTTCCCACACCTCACAACCAGGGTGCTTTGGCGAGGACAGGGGGCCTAGAACGTTTACATTGTCCATGATTATGTAGATGAATGTATTTTACCCACAGAAAAATCTGAGTAGTTTCATTTCATATATTCAGTTGCTTGAGGAGAGAAAGTTGTTCAGGTATAGGAGCCAGGGCTCCAAAGAGAGACTATGGAAAAGGGCTGTTTGTTTCTTTTTTTTCTTTTGGTGACAAAAATACTGGAAGCTATTGTTCCATTTTAACACAGGTGAGAGCAACCCAGGAACTTGCCGAGAGTCACCTGGAAAAGGAATAGCACAGCTGGTGCTAAAAGACACTATCCCCATTCCATCTGGCGTTCTTTCCACTGCATAACCCGTCACTCTGCCCAGAACAGGGCTTTGTTCTGTGCGGTGGTTCTGCTGGACCCTGGCATTTGCTCAACAAACTTCCCATTAGTGCCAGAGGAGGAGAAGAGATTGTAAGCAGGTCAAATCTGCTTTTTGGTGTTTTTTTTTTTTTTTTAACTGAAAAAAAAACTCTAAAATACATTTTTGAAACTTTGATTCCATCACATCTCTTTGTGATGTGGATAGCACAAGCACTTACAGTATTCCTAAATATCCCAGTATTTCTTAAAATTCACTAAATTCTTAAGTTCTGGGGGTTACCCTGTAACTCCTGGTGCTTCCATCTCTGTCAAACACGCATACAGCTCAAAACCATTAGGGTCTTTGGGATTGGAAAGTGAGAACAGTACAAGAACTATAGTGCATGTGGAGGGCACGTGTATATTATGATTATTATATACTTAACTCCTGTTTTCAATATACAGATACATGGTTGTTGTGTTGTTGGTTTTTTCTCTCTATTTGAATTAGAATGAATTCCATTCTGGATTTAGGTAAAATGTGTATTTTCTAAACCATATAACTTCATTCTCAAGCACATTTTGTTCCTTTTTCTTTTGTCCAGCAAAACATAATTTGCATTTTGTCACCTTTGTAAAAATTAACTGAGTACTGTTATTTAAATAGAACCAGCAATTGTGCTTTGCAGTTATTGTATTTTTTACAATGAGATTAGTGACCCGATGATCTAGGGTTTTCCCATGCTGGGTTTTGTTTAGAATTTGAGCTTATTTGCAAAAATATTGCCTCCCTGCACATTTAAAACATCTATAAAATATTGCTCCTTGACCTACACAAGAAGCTGTTTGCTGGGTTCTGGAGTTGGAGGACAATAGCTCAGGATGGGTGCCTAGGAATGGGTAAATCTTGCCTATGAATTTAGACGTTTGTTTGTCAAGATTGCATCACGAAAGCCTCAATCTTTACTATGTCCCACATGTTATGTGCACGAGAAGCTTAACTGCATCCAGGACAGAGCCTGGTGGTGTTTAAATCTCTAAATATCTTAAAATTTGAAGGCTTCAGGCAAGAAAACCTGATTACTCAGAAAGCACAATTTTTAATATTTCAGACAAGACATTGTCAAAATCAGAAGAGTGAAGGTCTTTGCCACAGATCTTACTATTACTTTTAAACTTTGTATGTTTTTGTAAGACTTTAAAACAGATGGCTGGGCAGTGCTTTTTCTATAAGTGTTCATTAAAGCATAAATATTAAACTATTTTGAAATAAATCACCCTTCAAGGACCGCTCTGCCCCTTTAAAGCAATTTCTCTTATTGCCTAAAAATTCAAGTACTCTTTTAACTAAGTGCACACTGAAATATTTCACTATGGATTTGAACAGAAGCCAAGAGGGTCGATGAAAGGAAAACTTCTCTCTATAAAAGGTTTATTGTCAGCGCTTTCTAAAGACATAGTTTCTTCTAAAACAGGCTACCAACATTTTCACAAACATTGACGCAGCCTTCTCAACCTCTCCTGGACCTGGTCATTTTCTTAGGGGCTACTCTGCATCTAACCTTTGACCTTCTGGATGGCCAGCTCTGTCTAACTGCTCCCTTCTCCATCAATATAATGTATATTATAAAAAGAGAAGGGGGTGGGGTAGCTTGATCCTCACACTATTGGGAAAGTACTTGAAATTCCTTGCATTCTTTTGCATTTAACAGCTTGTTTATCTAATCACCAGCTTATTAGGATTAGCACAAGTCATTGCTTCAAGCTCATTCAGTGAAAATAAACTGACCTCCTATAGACTCTTCAAGAGTTTTGTTTCCCTGCTCCCTGGCAAGGGTGAATTTTTAAGTAGTTCTCCCAAGCTTTAGGAACAATACTGGAGAACTATAAAGGTTTAAACAACTGACCTTTCATAACACAACATCTAACCTTACTCAGTCTTGCCTGTGGATTTAGATATGGGCAACCTGGGTGATGTTATGCTTTCATTGAAGAGTTTCTCTCCTCTACTTAATGACATACACAATAGCTGGATGATTAAAATTACACATGACTCTGCTAAAGCCACTTAAGAGTGATTCTGTGATGGAGACACTGAGGCTTTCAATTCATGAGAAAGGGAAGAATTATTATTTAAACTGCAGATTTAACTTCAAATTCTTTCTTGTACTTTTTCCATTGCTTGGTGTTCAACCATATTTCTCATACAGGTTACTGTAAGTGAAAAGTGTGTACTCCTGAAGATATAAATGCAGTCGTTGTCTAGGCTAGTTGCCTGTTCTAACCCACCACCTAGAAAGAACAGCTCCTAGCACACAATAGGCACTCACTAAATCCTCTTTGACTGACATAAGGCACAGGCTAGGTTGTTTCCAGTAATACGGGAGAAACTCTGAAAATAATGAATGTCATACACTCAGATATTAGGTAAATATTTCTTTATTAAATGATTAAATCCATAAATAAATTCTTTTCACTGAATATAAAATTAAAGTCATTTACAAATTATTCCAGTATTACATTTCCCCTCCCTCCCCGAAAGCTACATTTTGATAAATAAAAACATTCAGTCTTAAAACACCTGATTTCTGTTTGCAGTTTTAGAGTGCAGATAGCTGCCTCTCACAGACACTCACAGAGTGTCACCTCAGGAGGGGTTGGAACCCCCTTCCCATTTACTTCTGTCAAAGGATGAAGGTTAAACCGTTCAGTTAATCTTATCTTTTACCATTGTAGAAGTGAAAGAAAAGAGCCTAGAGAAAAATATGCTTACCAAATAATTTACAAACAGAAAACAGAAGGTCATCAACACCACAAGCTCCAAAACGAAGCAGTAACATGTGCTCCAATATTATGAAGCAAAGTATTCTTCAATCGCGGCTGCATTAGTGTCCGTCAGCACACCTGGCAGTTTCGAAATACCTTAAAACTACTCAACAATGAGCAATGCATCCCTTCTACAATGAGTCCCTTCACCCCCACTGCCCCCATCCATGTCTCCATGATTCTGGCCCTCTTCTCCCCTGTTTGTCCCTGTTCCTTGTGCTGGGAAGTCAGGTGGCATTTAGTCCCTAAATTTGTGAATGTCATTGAACAGCCTGTAGAAGGGAAACGCTGCCTCATTGGCATGTGGACAGTTGTAGTTGCATTTGCAGGACTGGATCATCATGACGTTCTTGGAAAATGTCTCCCCGTCTTCACAGCGGAACCGCATCTTCACTGTCCTGGTCTGCAGGGGCGTGCAGCAACGGCCATCCACGCAAGAGCCACAGTACTTGGGCCGGTACTTCTTCACGCTTGAACATCCTGCGTAAGTAAACTTGACTGGTTCGGGGGATTTCTTGGTCTTGCTGCATTTCTTGCCCTTCTGTAAGAAAAAGGAAGGGGAAAAGGAAGTTAGGGTAATTTTTCTTTTTCTTGGAAGAAAAGTTCACATCTCTCACAGCTGCCAGGAACTCCGACAAGCTAGCTGCCATAGGAACCTACTTTCAGGCTGCTGTACATGGGCTGTCCACAAGGCCGCACTTCACAAATCCGGGTTTCTTTCACCAGGCGGCATTCGGAGTTGTCATTGGTAACTCGTGTGGAGATACCAGTTCCACAGGTCTTGGAGCACTGGGACCATGAGGTTGTTTGAACGATACACTTCTGGCCGTGTAAAGAAGGGTTGTATAGGATTCGAGGTTCCATTCCAAAAACTAGAGAGACAAGAGGAACAATCTCTCAGAGGCATACCGACACAGATTCAAAGCGCTCGTTTTTATAAAGCTTGACATTAGAAATGTATTGCAGTATGTCCTATTGGGTCAGTCTCAACTTACCAGGGAGCCGCTTTAGAGAGTCGTCTTTTCCAACAGCAATTAATTCATTGTTTTTCGTTAATTCCACCTCAGAGGGATCAAATGCCATTCCCTTGCCCAGGAGGTCATCCCTGTCTTCCATCGGGTCCTTGGCACTGTCCTCATCACAGACCCATTCCTCACAGCACTGCCCAGTGACTTTGACCAGCCGAGGGTTGGGACAGCCCAAGTTGGGGAGAGAGAGTTCTTGGGGACACAGTGGAATGCAACCTACAGCACCGTCAATGCATGTGCACTGATGTTTACAGTTGGGCTGGAAACTTTCTCCATTCTGGTAGATTCTGGAGTTATATTCACAGGGTCTGCCCTCTGATTGAGCTGCAGAGAGCGCCAAAAGAGAAAAGGAAAAGAGGATAAGGTTGAGATTCCAAACCACGGCTGAAACTCATACATATTTTCTGCTGTTAGATTCAATTTATGGTAAAGTTCCCTACAATTCCCTGGAGACTCCAGACCAGAACAATAAGTTAGTCAGGAATCACTTTTCCGTATGCGCTTTTCGATGGGCCCAGACACACTGAATTGCATTCCAGACTGCTGAAATCATGTGCCTTTCTGCCAAGCTACCAACAACAAAGCATCACCATACATGGTCTCAAAATTACTAAACTTCTGGACTACGGGGACTATTATTTTTTTAAAGGGGCCAAACCACAAGCATCTTACCTCTGCAGATCCCCTTCAGAGCGGTGGAGCTGGCGCCGAAATTGCATTCCAGCCCCTTGGTGTGGTCGCAGGGCTGCGTTTTGCTGCAGTCCTCGTTGAGCTGCTTGGCGCATACCTTACAGCAGCCGCAGCCGTCCAGGACCAGCCCAACTCCCGGGGCGCACTTGGGCGCCTCCAGGGGGCAGTGGCAGGCGGCGGGGCAGGTGGAGAGCGCCTGGAGGAGACAAGAAAGACACGCGTGAGATTTCGCGCAATGCGCAGGGAAAGGAGTCCAGGCGAGGAATCAGAGTCTCTGATGCTGTCCAGTCCGGCCACCCGGGGCGGCTGTGGGCTTCCCAACAGATCCCGGGGGTGGTGGCGGGGTGGGGGGGGGTGACTTTAAAGGAAAAGCTATCCCGAAACGCCCCCCACCCAACCAGTTCGGTTTAGTTTTTTTTTTTCTGTTTGGGCAATCTGGAGACGGACAGGGGAAGCGACGGGGGCAGCGAACGAGGGAGCGATGGCCAAAGAACTCACCAGCCTGGCCAAGTGGAGCAGGGTGACGACCAAGGCGAGCGTCTGGGCGGTGTGGGAGCTCATTGTGGCGCGCAGGAGGAGTCTAGGCGAGCGCGGAAGAAAACAACCCACACACCGGTGCGCAGCGGGGTGGCCCGGCGCGGCTGGGTCGGGGTGCGGCTGCGGCGGCCCGGGTGGCAGGGAATCGAAGGCCGGGGAGGCGAGCCGGCTGCGGACGTCCTTCCCTCGAGGACCTTCCCGTAGAGGCGTGGAGGGCGCGGGTGCTGCTCGAGGGCGCTCTCGCTCGCGGTCTGCCCCAGCGCGCAGAGCCCGCCTCTTATACTGGCCGGCTAAGGCGCCGCGTGTTGCAGTGACGTCGCCGCAGTCTACGCGTTCCAGTATTCTCAAACATCTCTGGAATGCTGGTTGGCCCGGGCCTCTGCCAAGCGCCTCCCCTGGCTCCGTTGCACCTTTTTTTTTTTTTTTTTTGTCCTGGACCCGTCAAGAAAACAATCTTCCGTTTTTTCCACTTTAAATAACGCCTCGTGTGAGGGAGGGCTCTTTGGGACTTGATGGTGGTGATGATGGTTGTGGAAGGGGCAAGGGGGGCGAGTTCAAGACTTTGCCTGAAATGGGAGGGTGGGAGGACCTGAGAGGAACAAAAGTCGTTTTGTTTGGTGATGCCGAGTGACCGGGCAGCTTTGGAAGCCCTCAGCCAAGAAAGCAGCAGGCTGTTTGCTTGTTTACAGCGAAGGTGAGAGTGTTATCTATGGAGAGAGGCGAACCGGGAGGGGTAGTGTGTCTTTGAGCCAGGAATCTATTTGTGGACTATACAGGCACTCTCGGATCAAATCCCAAAGTTCTGGCACGGTGTTTATTAGCTAAGTTAAATGTATTGCAAATTAATACTTGCAGTGGCATTTATGAATGAGAAGGGGGGGAATCAACTTCCCCCATGTCTGGCAGATTCCCAGGCAGAGGTCTTCCCCCCTTTTTGGTATGTCGTACTTGTTTGTTTTTGGAGGTTCCCACTTTAGTTCCAGCCCACTGCCTGGGTTGGAAGTCCGAAAGGAAATGAACACAGGGAGTTCTCTGGAAAACTGACTTATATACTTCCTCACGGATGCGGGGGAACGGGATAAGCCCTTCCTATCTCTCTCCGAGGGTGGGTGACGATGGTCGCTAAGCAGCCAGGAAAGCAGAAGCAGAAGGGATCTCGGTGGAGTAATTTGGACTTAGATCTCCACCTGTATACACTGTTAGGCTAAATCAGATTCCAACACCATTGTGCTGGATGGCTCTCTGGGAAAAGCAGACGGTTTCAAGTTAAAAGCTTTGCTGAGTCCGATGGATTGTAGCTCCTTGGGACCACTTAGAGCTTCCATTTCCAGTGAAATGCAATGCTTTCTCTCCAAGTACAAACAAGTAAAAGATTTATAATATTCTGTAATAAAAATGTTAGTAGATTTTTTAGAACCTTCATATTCAACCTGCAACACACTCAGTGTAAGACACCCCCACAACACAATTACTGTAACATCATTATTGTTAGTGTGATGTATACATTTTCCCTCAAAGCTTTAAAGTCAAGCATCTTGTGTAATTTGATAAGAACCAACACAAGTTAGCCTCCCTTTTTAACACTTAGTCTAGGAGAGCTCTTTGTCTTTTTTAATTTTGGGGGTGTTGGGTCATCATAATTTAGCAGTTGTGCCTAAGAAGGCCTTCCGCGCTGGACTTTTTTTCAGTCAGTGATTCAGATGAGCACAATGAGAAGCCATGGCAATGAAAACATTCTCAAAGAGAACTATTGAAGGAAAGAGTTACGTTTCATTCATTCAGAAGTTCCCTTTCAAGTCTAAGTGCCTTTTGCTGGAGGCAATAGGATCCCTCAGGCTTTGTGGGAGGAGTGCAGGGCGGGGGATTTACTTTTCAAGACAATAGATTGTCAGGTGTTATGGAAATACAGTGAGGACAGTCTAGGCCCTCCGTCTACCTGAGCCAATCATCAGTCATTATCTTAAAAATGGGTTTTCCCATGTCAGAGTTTCATTGTTGTTTCCTTCTTAATGAAGTGACTCTGGACAAGGTTGAGCAGGCGCAGTCCAGGATGGGAGGAGGTGGTAGAGAGAGAATGGAGAGGAGCGTTCCTGGCTTCTGTTGTGGCGTCTTTTCTCTATTTGACTTCATGGTTGTAAGTATTTCCAGATGGTGAATCAGACACCAGACGTAACAATATTTCCATATTTGGGTATAGCAGTAGCCTGCGTTTTTAACATTTTTCTGCCTCTGTTATCCAACCACAAAGCATTCTTGACAGCTTCAAATGTTGTTAAATATAGACTTAACTTCTGTTCCCAGAGCAGGAAATTCTTTGGAATTCCTTGTTTTTCACGCAATCTGTCTGTCATGATTTAAAATAAAATTATAGTAGATAATCCAACAGTCCGGTATATACCTTGTTCCCTTACTGGGAGGTTGCAACGGGAGATGAGAGAGATTTCAGCCTGCTGTACAGCATTCAAACACAAACCATTCCAGAGATTCTTTTAAAACCAGATTAAAGTTTTCTAACAAGGTTGTGTGGGTTTGTTTCTGGACTTCAACTGGGAAATCTTGGAGGATGAGTTGGCCCCAGAGAAAAGCTTAGAGGACCTTACCATCAGTTGCCTGTTTAAAGAAGGGGGGTGTGTTGTGGCACAGGGCTGGGAAGCTGAAGCAAACAGGGCCAGGAGGTGGGGGAGCAAGAGAGACTGGAGTAACCTATGTGAACAGACTTTCCATATACTGTGTCCTAATGCTCGGCTAGTAAACCTCAGTATCAGGCCAGAGGAACAGCAGCTCCTCATGTCCTGCTGAAGGACAGTCCAGAAACCCCAGACGTCCTGTCGCCTTCTCGCCTTCTCGATGAGAGCTGCAGATCAGTTCAAGTTGACAGATTGGCAGACAAATGCACACATGTTCATGGGTAAGTGTCGCTTCGGGTGCTAATTCTGCATGATTCTTTCATTCTCTTTCTTCCCACCCTTCTCTATATGGGTACCCCAGAATAGGAGTGCCTTGTTTCCCAGGGCTGCAAGGTGTAGAAAAGGGGCTGCTTTTCTTCTGCACATCAGGATGTTTTGTTTTGAGCTGTAGGAATGTCTTATGTGCTGCTGCCCCAGTAAGGAGGGTTCACTGTCTAGTGGTAACTGAGAAGAATCAGCCTAAACCTGGTGACTCCAGTTTCCTTGCCCTAGATCAATGATTTTCAAGCTTAGCAAGTCCCAGAATTACCTGGACAGCTGGTGAAAAGACAGATTTCTGGGTGTCACTGCAGAATTTCTTACTATTTATCTTTCTAACAAGTTTCTAAGCGATGCTCATTCTGCTGGTATGGGGAATCATACCTTGAGAACCACTACCTTGGATGGCAGGAGTGCCTGTGTGTATGTTGTTGTTCTCATAGATCATCGCCTGCACACCCAATCTCACAACTTTAAAGCTAGTGTAAAGAACAGCTTAAAGAAAGGAAGACTTGAGCGTTAAGGTGGCATTGTCCCAAACCTTCCCTCCCCACACCAGCCCATTTCTCAGGCCCCCACCCCCACCCCTCACCCACTGGAGTGATCTCCAGGAGTGCCAAAGAAACCGGGATGGCGGCAGGAGTTGGGTGGCAGACCCGAGGGAAGGGCCTGGGTGGCCGCAGGGGCCCCGCGGAGATCGCTGGCAGGGTTCTCGCGGCGGGAGGGCACCGGGCCAGCGTACCCGGCACGCCCAGCCGCCTGCTGCCCGCCGCCCCCTGCCGGCTGTCCGGCCTGCGCGCCCCAAGTCGTAGCCGTTGCCAGGACTCTAGGTTTCCGGCGACGCGCGGCGCAGGACGCTTCCAGCTCCAGCCCATATTTGGTGAAAGTCTTTCAAGACTCCGTCATCCAGCTCCGGGGGGCGGTGGAGGCGACCGAGGCCCCAGCCGCGGCCCCAGCTACCGCGCTGCCGCCGCGTCACTAAAAAGTACTGGCCGCCTGCCCTGGGCCCCAGGCGCTGCGGGCTCGCGGGTGCAAAGGCGCGAGAACTCCGCACCTCAGTCCCTGCCCGCACCCCAGTCCCTGCCTGCACCCCAGTGAGGACTCAAGCCTCCCGGCGCTACGTGGGAGGCTGGCGCGGAGGGCGCAGCGGCCCGATTGTGTCACTTTTCCCGTCCACCCCCCTGTTGACTCGTCCTTCCAGCGGGGCAGCGAGTTGCCGCGCTGTGCCAGACTTTGAGGGTACGCCCTAGCGCGGGCCTGCGGGTCTGTGTGTCAGAGAACGGACATGGAATTGACTGAGATGTCCCCAAGGGCCCGGGTGCCCTTATCTCTGGAAGGGAGAGGTATTAGCGTTTGCTCTCCACTTCTCTTGGTTTTTCAAGAGAACACTTAAGTTCCTCAACGGTTAAGTTCCGTGTGTCAGGGAGTCCTGGCTTTGCCATCCCCTATCCTGTAGCTGTGGGTAAGCTGCTCAGCCTTTGCGGCCTCGTATTCTTCACCTTTCAATCAGGAAAGGAGACAGCAGGTGATAAATGAGCATAGCCCTTTGAGGGCTAAATCTCATGCCCAAAACACTTTTTTTAAATGACAGAAGCAATCACCTAGGATTCACCCTATATCAGGCCCTTTTTGAATACCTGGTGTATATCAACTCATTTAATTTTTCCAGACCCTTTTGTTAACACCATTTCCCATCTAAATGGAGGCACAGAAAGAAAGTTACTAGCGAAGTTCACTCACCTTAACAGTCACCCAGCACCCTGATTCCAGCAGGTCACACACTGCCCACAACTGGTACTTCAGATGTTCAGGCATGTTGCCAGTCTTGGAACTTTACCTGTATTTAACTTACCCAGATATTCCAAGATAAAGCTTCAGATAGAAAAATAGTTGATGCATTAACTAAAGTTAGGCTAACCTCTGAGAACTAGTAACCTACTTGTTCTTGGAGAAGTGAAGGATGAAGTATTAAAAACTGACAGAAAATGCTGAGTACAAATAGCGACTTTGAGACACTTTGGCAGGTTGATGGGGAAGCTATCTGGGACTTTTGGGCTTTTTCTGAAATCTTACATGCTACATTGATAAGGGAGTCCCTTCATCAAGAGTTAGACTTGGCCTGATCTAAACTGTATTTGTCACTGATACAAAGTTTTCAATGTCATGTACTTGAGAGTCCTTTTAGAGCAAGTCTGCTTTTTTACCTGTTTTCTCAAATGTAGACTTACCTATGAATTGGAAGGCCAATTCATTTACCCCAGATTTCAACAGCTTTGATGTTGTGTCATGGCACCATAGCAGG